GAAACAGAATTCTGAAGAAGGGTCTAGGCCCGAAACGTCAGCCTTCCGGCTCCTCTGATGCTGCTTGGCCTGCTGTGTACATCCAGCTCTACACCTTGTTATCTCAGATTCTCCAGCATATGCAGTTCCTAGTATCTCTGAAGGGATTTTAAGCAATTTGGTCAATTTATATTTCTTTTATTGTAAAAATCTTTGATGTGTAATAGTAAATACAATAGCATTTCTGGCTTTGTTACCTAAATAATATTGACAAAGTCACTTAATTTAGATGATCACAAAAAATAGCTTTTAAATAGAGTAACTGCATGGATCTCATTTATCAAATAAGATTATCCTCAACTGTATCATTTATTCTATAATGACGTATCTAATTGAATTACCGATGTTATTACGACCTCAACTAAATTAAAATGCAACTAATCAACCTTTTAAAGATAGAAATTACTGTTGTCTTCCATCCCTAATTTTGGCAAATGTGATTTCTAGCCATAAAATGCCTTCATTAGAATGATGAGGTGCATTTTTTTTTTGTGTCTTCACTTTTACATGGTGCAGTTGTCACATTATCCACCTGATTATATTAGTATAAGCTCCATTTTAATCACCTGTCTGACCAGACTCTTCTGTCTTAGGTAATCTCCTGCATTTTCATATTTTTAGCTGTGAACTGAGTGTAGTATGCATGGATCTGTTCCAACACTGAAGTGTTTTGCAAACTATGTTGTGTTAGGCAACCTTCTACCATCCAGAGAGTATTTTGGAAGTATGGAAAAATCTGACTGCAATAACATTCAAGTCTATGAACAAGTACTGTAAAGTGAAACCAGTCAGAGTAGTTTTTGCTGGTGCAGACTCAATGGGTCACCGGGCTTCTTGTGTATGATTCAATGAATAAAATGAGAGCCTGACTGTAGGTCCCTTTTGTGATATAAACAATGCTTTGAACGAGCAGTAATTGAAGTTTGTGACAGAAGATTTGCCCCTTATTTTAAATCTATGGACCTTGGTCATTGATCCCTCTATTTCTGTGTAACTTATCTACATCTCTCATAATTTCATACATCTCAATCATGTCCCTCTGCCCTAAGGAAAGCAAACCCAATCCATCGTCTCTGTCCATAACTGAAACTGTCCAGCCCAGAGAACGTCCTGGTAAATCTCTGCACCCTCTCCAGGGCATTAACACCCCTCCTATAATGTGGATTCCAGAACTGCAGACAAAACCACTAGCTGTGGCCTAATCAATGTCCTATAATGGTTCCCTGCTCTTAAATTCTATGTCTCAACTAATAAAGGCAAAAGTTACTATGCCTACTTTACCACTTTATTCACCTGTTGTGCTTCCTTAACGGTCTGGTCTGCATGCATACCAAGCTCCCAATGACCCTGTGTTTTGGATGCTCCTACCACTTCTGTCATAAAGTAAAGACATAAGTAGCGAATTTCTTGCAACCCCACGTAGCTGTTAATGCTTTGTTTTGATTAGTGAGTATTAGCTAATTATCTTGATGTGTAATAGATTAGTTTGAATTTTCCAACTCTTGAAACAGTACAACCCTTAAATCTGTAGGGATTGCATCTGCTGCTATTAGTATGTAATTCCAAACCATCATGTGTTAATTTCTCTGACATTAACCACACCTTGGTTTTTCAAATGATTTCTGATGTACTTATTGCCAGTAGAACTGTAATAACTTGCTCAGTGGCCCTTTGAGCTCTTTTTTTTTTCAAATTTTGCTATTTGAATCTTTGTAACTCTGCACTGTTCCTTGGAGCTGGAAATTCTTTTATGATCTGAACTTCAGTGGATTAATATTTTCTTTTCCTGATGCACTCACTATATGACTAAGTACTTGGAACTGAGATGACTGACCTCGAGCAACCATGATCATTTTCCAATTTGCCATGTATGATTCCAACTAGTAGAGAGTTTTACCCCTAGTTCCCATTGATTCCAGTTTTTCTTGGACTCATTGAAATGATTCAGTTGATTGTGGTCTTGATGTCAAGGGCTGTCACTCTGACCTCACCTCTGGAATTCAGCGTTCTTGTTCATGTTTGAACCAAGGCTTTAATGAGATCAGGAGCTGAGTGGCCCTAGCGGATCCAAACTGGGAATTAGTGAGCAGGTTTTTGTTGACCAGGTGCTGCTTTACAGCACTGTAGATGATGCCTTCAGTCACTTTACTGATGATCAGGAGTAGACTGATGGGATAATAATTGGCTGTTTGGATTGCCCTACATTTTGTGTGCAGGACATACCTGGGCAATTTTCTGCATTGTCGGATAGATGCTAGTGTTGGAACTGTACTGGAACAGCTTGGCTAAGGGAGTGTCAAGTTCTGGAGCACAAGTCTTCAGTACTATTGCCGGAATGTTGCCAGGGCCTTTCCAGTACAAAGTGCCTTCAACTGTTTCTTGATGTCATGTGGAGTGAATCAAATTGGTTGAAGACTGGTATCTGTGATGCTGGGGACCATTGGAGGAGGTCAAGGTGGATATCTACTCGGCATTTCTGCCTGAAGATTGCTGCAAATGCTTCAGCCTTATCGTCTGCACTGATGTGTTGGTCTCTTCCATCATTGAGGATGGGGATATTTATAGAACGTCCCCCAGTGAGTTGTCTAATTGCCTGCCATCATTCACAACTAGGTGTGGCATGACTGCAGAGCTTAGATCTGATGCATTGGTTATGAGATCCCTTGGCTCTGTCTGGCATTTGCTGCTTATTGAACTAAATTAAAGAAGAGGTCCTCAAGGGTTATAATCTCTGGATTGCTACCCGAGCCACGTGCAAATTGGCATAGGGACGTTAGAATAAGGGAAGTAAACATGTGGCTAAAAGAGGGTTTGGACAAGTGGGATTCCTTTTCATGGGGCGCTGGCATCAGTATTAGAACACGAGGCATCGTTACTTTTGAATTGTCTCCATCTGAACCGAGCTGGGACCAATGTTTTAGCAAAAAGGGTAAACAGGGTGGTCAATAGGACTTTAAACTAGAAAGTTTGGGGGAAGGGAAGGGTGAATAGCCAGGAAGTATAATGGCCAATGGGAAGCAAAGCAGCAGGTTAACATCTGTGGGGGTGGATTCAACTGCATGGAAAAGTATGAAAAAAATGAAAAGAAAAGAGAACTCCAGAACACAAAATATGACAGAGCGTTTGCAAATGGTTAGGAATCAAACTTCAAGCACACTAGATAAAGGGATGACAATTAGAAGAGGGCTGGTAAATACAGGTCTGAAGATGTTGTATCTGAATGCATGCAGTGTACGAAATAAGGTAAATGAGCTTGTGGCACAGGCTGAAATTGGCAGGTATGATGTGGTGGGCATCACGGAGACGTGGCTGCAAGGGGATCAGGATTGGGAGCTAA